AAGGAGTCAACTCTATTACAGTTGTGGAGAGAGGTCGCTCAACTCTGAATACAACAAGAACCAGTGGGGATTTATAGCCACTGAGCTGGATCAGGGAGGGGGGTCACTGGATGCAGAATTACTAAGAGGAGACATTAAGGGCAGGGGGATTCTTGCTCAAGGTAGCCCAGGGACTTAGACATCGTTAAGTGGGGGATGAGGAACTTAATCAGATATTAAGGGTTGATCAGGTAGCAAGGGTAGGGGCTTTCTTGACAAACTGACTCTGCAGGATTCTTGCTGAGACTGGGCTGTGTAGGCCTGGCCAGAACAGGCTGAGGCCTAGTCAAGAGGGCCTGGGGAAACCTAACTAACATTTAGTCGAGGAGAGAGTCTGTGTCATAGTGCACGTTTGATGTTTTTTTCATTCATTATTTCTCCCTTTTATCATTTGATTAAAAGCTGACAATTTATATCAAGTAAGTTTCATCAGGTCTTAATGCAGTTTAGGTTTTTCTTTAATTACTTTTTATTTCAAAAAGTATGATGTACACCTACTCACTAAAAAAAAAATTTAAGAAATAAATTTAACACATATTCTCTTCATTTTCTGCATTTCTTTAAATGAGATGTAGTGTCTAGTCTTTGTTATGTAATTTAGAGCTTGGACTAACAGTTTCAGTAAGGTAAGATTGTGAACACAAAAATTTTTTCAACTTCTACAAAACCTGAACTAGCTTAACCAAAATGCTGATCAGGACCTGCCATTCCACATAATTTGTTTAAGATAGTTTGAAAGCAAATCCTGCTCAGATAACTTAAAATATGACAATGCAGTGACAGTTTTAATTAGAATAAAATCAGAACAATTAACTTGTATAGTACATTTTATTTATTTATTTTTTTAAAGATTTTATTTATTTATTTGACAGAGAGAGACATAGTGAGAGAGGGAACACAAGCAGGGGGAGTGGGAGAGGGAGAAGCAGGCTTCCCGCCGAGCAGGGAGCCCGATGCGGGGCTCGAACCCAGGACCCCAAGATCATGACCCGAGCCGAAGGCAAACGCTTAACGACTGAGCCACCCAGGCGCCCCTGTATAGTACATTTTAAAATGCACTCCTTTGCAGTCCCATTTTAAGAACCTAAGAAAAATCCTTAAGTTTATTTGTTACATAGATATTTGGTTCTCTTTCTCGCAGGAAGCAAGGTCACAGTGGTGGTTAAGTTACCAGGCTAATCCCAAGAGACTGTTTAGCCCATTATATAATTGAACTTTATAATATTAATATTAACCATAAGCCTTTCTAAACCAGTGATTAGAAAGAGTGGGGAACAGGAGCCTTGGGCTTTGACATCAGCAGCTTCTGGTTGTAATGAGGAAGGGGTGATATCAGTGGAGGGGACTCTGGCAGAAATAGTTTTCTCTTCAGGCAGGGAATGCATCTGAGACTGGGGGTACAGTGGTTGTATAATTTGTAAGTCTGCAATGGATGGTAAATGAATGTACCTTAAAAATACTCCAACTTGACATGTGTTTTTTGAAAGACTTATCACAGTAAATACAGCTCTTTAGTCAAACAAGCAGTTTATTAAAGTGGTTCAGTTACCATAGCAACGTATCTGGAATTTATAGCTCCTTATTTTGAGAGGACTTCATTTCACTCTCTGAGGCACTGAAATCCAAGGCTAAAGTTCTTAATGGCCTCCAGTCTCATTGCATGATGAATTTCTGTTGTTTGGAAAATTTATACATATAAAATGTAACTTGCAAAACCAGTCCTATGACTTCATAGTGGTGTGCGTTAATTTTAAATAGGTACTTTTCAATTTGGAATGCCCCTCTTTAAAATTTTTTTTATTATTACCAAAGCTACATATGATCATAGTTTAATGAGGAAAAACAGCTATTTCAAAAAATAAGTCTTCTAAAGTTATTCCCCAGAGGCAACCATTTTCTGTCCTTTTAGCTGTTTTGTTTTTTCAGTATTTACTTCAAATCCCTCAGCAACATGTTTATATTGCTTCTTGGTTTGTATTACTGGTTGCTTTGTGATTTTAGCTGTCATCAATTATTTGAGTCTCTGCGTATTTGAAAATGGCTTTATTCTACTTTTATAACTGATTTTTAATTTGGCTGGGTATAAATTCTTAGTTAGAAATAATTTTCTTTAGAATTACTAGTACTGATGTTGAGAAATCCAATGCACTTCAAAGCTTTTATTCTATTTTAATTCCTTTCTTCCACTCCCTGGAAGCTTATAGAATTATTTCTTTGTCCCCAGTGTTCTAAAATTTCATGATGATGGACCTTGCTCTAGGTCCATTTTCATCCATTGTGAAGGATCCTCAGAGGACCTATTCCATTTTCCATTTTGGAAACTCATGCCCTTAAGTTCTGTGAAACTTTTTTTATTTCTCTGATTATTTTCTTTCTCTGTTGTCTCTGTTGTTTCTAGAAACTTTATTATTTATGCATTGCCCTCTTGGCTTGGTCCTCTAATTTTCTTGTACTTTTATATTTACTCTATTATTTTTCATCTACTTCCTGGAAGATTTTTTCAGCTTCACAACCGTAAATTTTTCATTTCTGCTATTATGCTTTTAATTTCCAAGAGTACTTCCCTCCCTTTCTTCTTTAATCATTCCTTTTTTGGAGCATCCTGTTGCTTTATAAATGTTATCTCTTCTAGTTACACTGTCTCGAAACTCTGTACATGGATATGGCTTGGAGACTATGGCCTTCAGTAAAGGGTAATCTGGCTGGATGTCTTATGGAGGAATCCTCAATATCAGAATCTTTAGTCTTTTCTCCCTGGCTTGTCTGATTCCCTAGAAAATAATCATTTTATATGATTCTGCTGTCCTGTGTAGAGGCATAAGCCTCTTTATCTTTTGGGGGACATGGGAGGATAAGAAGGCTGAGGGAGAAGGCAGAGCTCAGCATTTATTATGTAACTTTTATTTAATCTCTCTGATATTGTAGAATAGTCTGCCATCAATGTGGGATTCCTTTATCCAGATACCTTCTGTTTTACCCTCTCCAGAAAATAAACCTCTTGCTTTCTGCGAGAGTAGGTTGGAGAAGTACTCTATCATGTGGAACGGGTACAGAGAGGATATAGATCAGTGTTGCACATAATCAACTACTTAAATATTCTTTGACCAATCCTCCTATTGTAGCCACACACCCCTCACTTCCCCTTGCATCATTTCCTAAGCCTTTTTTACATTACCACATTCTAACCCACATGCTTCTCAACTTTCCATATTGCCACCTTAGGAGCTGTCAGGTTGGCTCATCAATTACTAAACTAATTTTTAGTTTCCAAAGTTTTCTTTCTGTTTCTTTTTTAAGATTTATTTTTTAGAGAGAAAATGCTCACACACACAAGTTGGGGGGGAGGGATACAGGGAGAGAATCTCAAGCAGATTCTCCGCTGAGCATAGAGCCCTCCGAGGGTCTCCATCTCATGATGCTGAGATCATGACCTGAGCCAAAATCAAGAGTCACTGCTGAACTGACTGAGCCACCCAGGCGCCCCTAATTTCCGAAGTTTTGTTGCTATTGATCCCTTTCCAGTTCTCTTTGTTTCTGTACGTCTTACTATACAGCATTGAGGCGGAGTCTAGGTCAAATATGTTCAGCCTGCTCTCCTTTCCCTAAGTTCCTAAATAATTAGTTTTTAACAGTTAAGAGACTATATTCATGTTTTAGATTTAATTGATGCTTTAAATTTAATTCCTATTTAATTCATCTCATATTCTCTTTCTTAATAGGAAAAGTCTTTTTAATCTGAGCTTTCTTTATTTTCTCCTTTCTACTTCACAGTTTCTTCATACATCCTCCTGTGTTCTCAGACCTCCCTCCTGTTCTCTGCATCCCACCACTCCAGCCTCTTCTACAAACTTCTCCATCCTGGAAACAAGTTAAATCCCCTCACTTTCCATTTCTCTTAGCCTTACACATTAAATGGCCTGTTTTTAAACCTATGGAAGTTTCTTAGTTAAGAAACTGAATTAATCAACTTTCCTTAACCCTTAAGCTCCAGTCCCAGCTTTCTTATTTTTTAGTTTTCTCTTTAAAAAAAAAAAAAAGTTATTCATCCATTTCCACTTAGTCTTTTATATGAGCTTTTTTGAAAATTACTTTCTTTTTTTTATATTTTATTTTATTATGTTAGTCACCATACAATACATCATTAGTTTTTGATGTAGTGATTCACGATTCATTGTTTTCATATAACACCCAGTGCTCCATGCAGTACGTGCCCTCCTTAATACCCATCACCGGGCTAACCCATCCCCCTACCCCTGTCCACTCTAAAATCCTCAGATTGTTTCTCAGAGTCCAGTCTCTCATGGTTCATCTCTCCCTCTGATTTCCCCCCCTTCATTTTTCCCTTCCTTCTCCTAATGTCCTCCATGCTATCCCTTATGTTCCACAAATAAGTGAAACCATATGATAATTGACTTTCTCTGCTTGACTTATTTCACTTAACATAATCTCCTCCAGTCCCATCCATGTTGATGTAAAAGTTGGGTAGTCATCCTTTCTGATGGCTGAGTAATATTCCATTGTATATATGGACCACACCTTCTTTATCCATTCATCTATTGAAGGGCATCTCGGCTCTTTCCACAGTTTGGCTATTGCGGACATTGCTGCTATGAACATTGGGGTGCATATGGCCCTTCTTTTCTTTGTAAACAAAACCACCAACCCCTTTTTGGCCACAGCCTAACTGACTGCCTATTTTCCATTGAAACCTTTTCTTCTCATTCTTGTCTTGTTCTTGTTTTACTTCTCAGAATTAATGAGATTTGTTTTTTCCCCTCTTGTGTCTGTTTTTCCCTTTTCCCCTTAGATGTGGGCCTCTATTTCCCTAGGTTACCTAGGGAACAAAGCAGGAAAGTTCATAAAAATTTTTGACTTTTGAAGTTTTTCTTCTTTGTTAAAGTGATGTGATTTTTTAATAAAGATTTATATGCCATTAATAAGGTTTAACTTTTAATATTTAGGCAGGTGCTGTAAAGGACTATATTAAGATGATGCTTCAGAATGATTCACTTAAATTTCTGGTTTTTGCTCATCATTTAAGCATGCTCCAAGCTTGCACAGAAGCAGTCATAGAAAACAAGGTATGTTATCATTTTTCTGTAAAATACTTTTTAGCATGCAGGTTGTTAATATACTAAACATCAATTGTAGTCTTGTAATTGAGGGTTCTTTTGGCCTTATTTAAAAGATGATATATTAATTATTATTAGATTTTTTCTTGCAAATTATACTAATATTATTATTATGTTGATGATAAACTATTAAACTTTTTCTTCTATTCCAGGCTTATAATTTTCCACCAATCTATCTGGATTGATTAAAATATGCTGACTTGATAGGCTATATTGTGAATTCCATTATTGTTATTGGATATACCATTTGAGACTGGTGTAGGCAATTAAAAATTAGAATTTTTATTTACCTGCAAGTCAGTTTTAGAATATGGTGATGTCGAGGGGAAACAGAAGGAATTCAGCCAATGTTAGTACCCACCTGCAGTCATGCCTTTTAAACTGCCAGGCAGCATCCTCCGTAGAGTGTGATTTAGAGTAAGATTTAGTACAGGTGAGTTTGAAACAGATGGTCCAGGTACCCTCTCAGGTAAGCTCCCCAAACCTGCTGGCCTTACTGCATTTTCTTAGGTTCACCTAATACCCAGCAGTCTTATCAGTGACAGCATCTGCCATGTTTTCTTTCAGAGTTTAAACCTGTCATCTCTCTTTATGTGCTGAGGGCTTTTAGAGATGCTCAGAAACAGCCAGAAGAAATTTCCTGACAAATTGTGTGAACTTAATATACATGTTGGAGCAAAACCACTTGCCTATGTAGGTAGATTTTTTAAGTGGAGAAATTAAGCCATGTTTTTTAAAACTTTCTATACATTTTTGAGCATTTGCCAGTATGTTTATTAACGTTACCAAAGAAGTAATTCTAGTGTTTCCTTCATAGAAAGATTTATGATAATAAAGTGCTACCTGTGAAAATGTGCTCTCGCATTGATTATCATATCGTATCTTTAAAATGCCTCTTGAGGAAGAGTTAAATTAACCTTAGAAATATTTTTTTAATGATTGGGCAATAAAATTAGATTCATAATATTTTCTTATTCTGATTCCATTAAGCTTAAAACTTTAAAACTACTGGGATCTATTCTAAGTATAGCAGTCATTCTCCCCAGTTCTGCTTTACTGATGTGTTTAGAATCCCGTTTAACATCAGTAACAGTTAAAAATGGTAGACAGTCATGGGTTGGAGGTGAATCTCTCCCAAACTCTCCCTAGCCTGACAATGTGTGTTTTCTTTAGAAAGACTGTTGGAAGATTTTATAATCTCCCTTATTGGATATTAGATGGCTCACTGAGCAATGTGTATCTGTTTGTGAAGACATAGAAAGTTAATATGGGACATTCTATTTAATGATTAACTTGACTATTTCCTTATGAAAGTGAATATTGGTATGTCTCAACTATATAAGGCTATGTTTTCCATAGAAGTGCATATATAAATGAGACTAGGTGAAATTCATGACTTAATACTGAATTTTAGAAAGTTGAGTAATGAGTTCTTTTTAGTTACTCTAACACACACTGATTGCTCCCTTTTTCTAACCCAAATCATTCCTAGAAGACAGCACTGTTGAGTTTAGCACTTAATGTTTCCCTACTTTTTAAAAATGTGTGTGAGTGTCTTGGTTCCCCAACTCAATGGAGGTGCCTTATCACATATTTCTGTTAAGTTTAGGAATGTGAAAAAAATGAATTCAAATGGTACACCAAAAAAGATATTTTCCCAGTTAATATTGGGATATTTCAGAAGTCAATGCACTACTCTTCATGAATCCGTAATAACGTGGGTAAAATCCTTTCTCCCTTTTTCCCTGTCTGGCTTTATTTTTACTTTGGAATCAGTGAACCTGAAACTTTAAAGTTAGTTTGATCTATCATTTAAAGTTTACATGTGAATTTATACAGAATTTTACTGAAGACATTAGCTTAATTCAGTGATTTATGGAGCTCCTGTTATACAAGGCATTGCACTTGGCATTGATGGTATGAAGATGAATTAGACATAAATCCTACCCTCAAGTAGATTAAAAGATTTAAAAATAGGGAATTGTTACAAGAAGCTATTAAGAAATTTGATTAAGATTCTTCTTATATAACATTTACTAACCTTTCATCGTAACCCATTTATATTTTGTTATTTGAAGTATAAAAATAAGGCATAAAACATATAAAATGAGATGGGTGCATAGGGGTTTGTGCTAATTTTGCTATTTCCCTTGTTGATACTAGGCTCGCTACATTAGGATAGATGGAAGTGTTCCATCTTCAGAAAGAATACATCTAGTTAATCAGTTTCAAAAGGATCCTGATACTCGTGTGGCTATCCTAAGCATTCAGGCTGCTGGCCAGGTAAGAAATTCCATGTGTAAATTTGATAATGAAATGTCATTAAGATAATAAAAAGGTCATTAAGCATAATTATAACTTTACATCAAGATAAAGGTGTAATAAATATTCTACTTTGGAGAGTGCTAGAAAGTATAATAGAAGGAGACCTCAACACCTCTGACTCAAATCTTAAATTTTCAAGGAAAGAATTTCCTAGATGAATATAATTAATTTGATGCTAATACCTTTCCAAGACCTTTTTTTTTTTCTAACTTTGAATTTGCATAGAATTTTCCTTTCATTTCTTATAGCACTTATACTTACTTGATTGGTTTCACCAGAGCCTGGGAGGTAAGGTGACCTCAGGGAAAAGAACTTTTTATGGAGCACCCCTGGTTTGACCCTTAGGATTGGGTTTGGCTGCAAGTAAATGAAAACCCAAATTAAGAATGACTCAAATACACAAAGTTTTACTCTTTCATGTAGACAGTCCAAGGTTAGCATGGTAGTTCCACAAAGTCCTTAGGGCTTAAGCGTCTCCTGGCTTTCTGCTTTACCACTCCTAGCAGGTATCTCTTTTTTAAGAGAGCTGCTAGAGTTCCTCCATCATATCTGTGATCCAGGCAGCTGACTAGAGAAAGGCATGCTGCATCTCATTCACCTGCAGTTAGCCCTATGGTTACAACTAACTTCAAGGGAAGCTGGGAAAAATAGCCTTTATTTTGTCTAGTCACACTAAAAATCAGGTGTTATGTTACAAAGAAATAAGAACTGAATAGCTCTTATGGAAGACAATGACAGTCTCTGCCTCACTGTGTAAGGGGGATCCTTCTGGACTTTTTTTTCCACTAACATTCTACAATATTTTGATGTAAATATCTAAGCCAGGATATTTAACATAGGGAAAAGTGATTGAACATATTTTCTGTGCATCCAACCTGATATACAGCATATCTCTAGACTCTGGAATCTGAACCAGGGCCTAAGATCTGCTTTTAGCCAGCTAATTGATGTCTATAAAATTGATTATAGAGAGAAGCTCCATGAGGATAAAGAAGTTCTAGAACTCACCAGGAGTTCTTACCAAAAGGAGGATTATCTCAATACTTCCCTCATGTTGGATTAAACCTCTAGTAGTCTAAGTTTTATATCTGTTAGAATATTCCAGCCAGAGAGAATGTCATCAAAAAGAGCTTAAAATTAGAAATGGAGCACTCATAGCATGGGAGAAGAAAAGTAGAAGGAAGCCAAGCAGGAGGATCTGGGAATGGCTTGATAAAAGACTTTCTGAAGTTAAGACTGTATAGGGCACCCATATTTTATTCAAAGCTGTATTCCTGAAGACCTGGTATAATTCAAAACGCATATACTTGAACACTAGTATGTTCATAGGAATAAAGGAAAGTAGAAAGGGCTTTGTTCTTGGGGCATGTGAATCTTCCACTGTAGTTTAGTAGTATGTTAGAGGGATGTGGGTCTTGCCAGCATATTTCCCTTTTATTCTTGTATGGTCATATGATGCTTCTAACACACTTAAAGGTTTTCATCCCTCTTTAAATACTACTTGTTATTTTCCAGCATCATCTCTAATATTTTGTGGTGTTTCCTGTCCTAAATAGCAGCACAGTTTAGCTTGATGGTTGTTGGGCTTACCATGTTTTTATCACTTCTAACTTCTGTTCCAAAGTGATGGATCTTTACTGAATTTTTCAGCTTGAGAACTTATGCCACCATTTAATGAATGCTGGTATGATGTCGTTATGTGATATAAAAATATTTTAAGTTAAAGTAATATAAAAATAACAGCACAGCAGTAACAAAAGTCATTCACTGATGGAAGTTCCAGGGCATGTGAACACCAGTGTGGATTAGATGATTCTTTCAAAGGATGATAGGTATTTCTTTCAACCACATAACATCATTTATTACTGTGTGGCAATAGCTTAAGCATGGCTCACATTTCACCCAGCCTTTCAACTTTAAAATCATCTATTTTGGGAGACATTCTTAATTTGAGATTTGCATTTTTCGCATAGTGATTATACAACAAGACTTAGTTAATACTTACTAATGTCAAACTATTTCAAACTGATGTAAAATGCAATTGCACAAAATAGTCAATTGTGTTATATATATATTGAGATAAAAGCCATAAACTTAAGGGTGTTTGAGATGTAACATGAGAAATTTCATAGGAAAAGAACAGTGTGACTGGAAACATGATTTTCTTGCTTTATAGAACAACACTATGAATTAAATGAATAGAGGAAGTCGTTGCTCTCTGCCTAGTTGCTATGGATACCATGTGTTAGAAATTATATTCTCATTTATAATGTATTGTATTAGATTTTCCAGTGGTAATGTGAATCCAGTCCTCATCAGAGGATAAAGTGATTTTGTTTATATATATATCCATCAAACTGACTTTTGAAATATTGAAATACCTTTTAAATGTGTTTTTTGTAGTTTACCTGGCCACTTGCAATAAGCGGTCTTCATTTGCCTTTCATGAATTAAATTTTCTTAATTTGGCTTAAAACGAAAGATTGATTTATTTTTAAGTCCTTTAGCTTTCTCTTGTTCATTTAACATGTTCAGAAAGACTTTGTTATATCTGGCTGTATGTTACATTCTCAGTTCATTTGCATCTCAATTTCTTCACTTTATTTTGCTTAGGGTTTGACATTTACTGCTGCAACTCATGTTGTATTTGCTGAGTTGTATTGGGACCCTGGACATATAAAACAAGCAGAAGACCGGGCTCACCGAATTGGACAGTGCAGTTCTGTGAATATTCACTACCTTGTTGCAAATGGGACTCTGGACACCCTTATGTGGGGAATGTTGAATCGAAAGGTAAAGCTTCAATTCAAACCAGGTTACCAACTTATTCATTATGTAGAGCCTACGTAAGTTAAGAGACTGAGTTGTAGTGTTTTCAGGCAAAGGATATTCAATTACACTAAGATAGTGGTGTTAATAGGGACCAAGGTTAGAAAAGTCTTCAGCTGGTAGTACCTTACTTATCCTTACTGGGAGAGACGTGCATTTACATGTGTTCTTCCTGTCTTCCAAGGCCTTCATCTACCATTTTAGAGGCCAGAAGAGGATGAGCTAGCAAGGAACCATAACAGTGTCAAACCCCAAGTCCTTTGTGTAAGCTAAGAATAAACCCTTACACAGAAGGATTGAGTTCTGGCTAATTTTGGACAGAGGACAGCCTGTACCTGGACCCCAGAAAGGGTAGGAGGGATGTCGCTTGTTCTCTCCACTCAACTGTCCCTTCTCCTCCCCAACCTGGAGGGGTATTCATAGAAAGGATTTGACTAATTGTTAGGGGATGTTTTTCAAGCCCTGAATATATATATTCAAAATGGCCAATCATGTGGGTTCAGTTTCAAAGTTTATAAATATAAGAATAAAAGTTTTTATGAGAAAAGAAAATAGTATAACTTCTCTGGTTAGACATTTACCTCATTAAGTATAGGAATCACCGACTTGGTAATTTGGTTGTAATTTTGAAAAATTTTATTACTAAGGTCCATGACAGGTTGAAACACTAAGAGTTTCTTTAGTGAATTGCTTGTGGTTTAAATGCAAAATCAGGTCACTGCTTAGTAAGTATCAGCTGTGAGAGAACTTTTGTAAAATTCATATGCTTCTTCATCTTACAGACACAAGTTACAGGGAGCACATTGAATGGTAGGAAGGAACAACTTCAGGCTGAGGAAGGTGATAAGGAAAAATGGGATTTCCTGCAGTTTGCTGAAGCTTGGAATCCAAATGAAAGCTGTGAAGAGCTCAGGAATGAAATTTTGTTCACTCACGTAAGATTATATGACAAATTCTTTTCTTTTTTAATTTTTAATATCCTAAAACTATAACTTTATCATATATTTTTTAAATAGCAAATTTTAATTGTGCTGTTAAAAGGAGCTTCCACATAAAGCTGGAAAACCTCTTAGAGCCACCAGATGACATTACAAGGAGGCTGCACCAGTGGCTTGTATCTTCCAATAGTTAATGCCAGTGTTCACTGTTCTCCTTAGAAAAGGAAGCTCAATAGAATCCAGCCTTCAGAAGAAAGCATAGATGGCTGTATGTCCAATCCAGAGGACAGGGGAAAATGTATTAAATTTACCACAAAGTGTAACACAGACAGGTCACAGACTCTCTAAAGATATTGGCATTACAATGTCCAAAGTGTATAAGAATTTATACAGTTTAATTAGTAAAATACAAGCCAACAGAAAAATAGGCCAAGAATGTGAACATTAGAGGACACCTGAATAGCCAAGAAGCATGGAAGGAAGCTCTTCCTCACCAAATTAAGGCAAACTGTAAAGGCACATTTTTCCCTTGATAAGTATTAAGTAATCTGTGGTGTGGTACTTTGAGATTATGTGGCTGTCCTGTGTCCAAAACTTTTCATCCAATGGACTTAGCATTCACTCTGATCTTTGTCTGAATCAGTTTTAAAATAGTGGTTTTTCTAATTCTATCTTTGCTTCTATATTTATTAGCTGGCATTTTTCTGTAAAGATGAACTTTATTTTTCCTTATTTAAAAAAAAATATCACTAGAACTTGGGGATTCTGTTACTATTAATGTATTATAATTCCTCACTTTTTTCCTTTGTTTTTCTTAAGATCTGGCTTATAGAGGCACCTTTCTTTCTTTTCTTTCTTTTTTTAAAGCAAGTCCCTACATTGCTCTGAGTGCTTTCTAGCTTTCTGATAAACAATTTGAGATTGACCTTGTGTTTTCTTTGCCCCAGACCTGGAACCAGCATTTCTTTAAGGAGTCCTGATTCCTTTAACTGGGGAATGATACTTAGAAATCAGGATTTTTTTTTATTGCTCTGGATATCATTACTTCTGAGCTATTTTCAGTGTATAGAGTGATTTATACACATACATTTTTGCGTGGATAGGTTAATATGTATATATGTGTATATGTGTGCATTTTTAGTTCGTAAGCTCACTCTAATACTCCAGTTCAAATTCAGCACCACCAGGTTCTTTTTCACCTTCTCCTTATATCTATGCAAAAATAAGTATTTATGTTTCCCTTATCCAACAGTAAGAACTCTGGTTCCTGACATCATCATCATCATATTTGCTCAGTGGCTCTGTCCTTCCATACATGCAAAATACTTGTAAAATAACTACACTAATACCATATTTTACACCTACTAGATTGGCAACAATGAAAATACTTGACATACCAAAAATGTTAGGAACATTTCATATACCAAACTCTTCATATACTGCTGGGTAGGAGTATAAATTGTAACTCCTTTGAAGAACAGTTAGGCAATATCTGGTAAAGTGGGAAATGCCTTCCAACCAAACCATTCCATTTCTAGGAATATATTCTTACCCATGGGTATAAGGATACATGTACAAGGATGTTTACTGAATCAGTTTCTGGAATGCCAAAGATTGGAAACAACGAAAATACTCATCAGTAGGAGACGGACTACTTAAATTGTATTAAGAAGGGCGCCTGGGTGGCTCCGTTGGTTAAGCGTCTGCCTTCAGCTCAGGTCATGATCCTGGGGTCCTGGGATCCAGCCCTGCATTGGGCTGCCTACTCAGTGGGGAGCCTGCTTCTCCCTCTCCCTCTCCCCTCTGCTCATGCTTGTGCTCTCTCTCAATAAATAAATCTTAAAAAATAAAAAAATTTTAAAAATAGTAATAAGATACCATTTAGAAGTTAACATGAATAAATTAGATTTACATGTTTTAACATGATCAGATTTTGAAAGCATAATGTTATTTTTAAAATGCATAGCACATACACACAAATAATATTAGGTATTTTATGAATATATATGTATATTTAATCAAATGTATAAACATAGATTGGAAGAACACATATTAAACTTGTAATACTGATTTTGTCTGGAAGGAGAATGGGTCTGGGGAAGAGTAAAAAATTTAATAGCAACTTCAATAGAACTATTTTATTTTAAAAAAGAATAGGAAGTAAACCTTACAGTATTAGTATTTGTAAATCTTGAATGGTGGGTATGTCTCTGTATAATAACAAATACTATCACAGGCCATATATAACTGAATAAGAAATTATACATTAGAAAAGCTTATAGTCATTCAGACTGTCTGGGTTTTTTTTCCCCTAACCCTTTTGGTGCAATCTGGTGTGAGAGTTAGGGGGAGTTTTTATTTTTTTTTAATTTGAGTATAGTTGACACACAGTGTTAGAGGTGTACAAAATACAGTTTTAGGTTTACAAAACAGTGATTTGAAAACTTTATGCATTATGCTATGTTCTCCACAAGTGTAGCTATCTGTCCCCGTGCATTTCTATTATAGTATCATTGACTATTTTCTTTATGCTGTGCCTTTTATTCTTGTGACTTATTCATTCCATATAGAGGGGTTTAATTTTAATTTTTGAAAGAATTGATCATATAGGAATAAAATTAAAGTCTACAAAGTTTAGTTCCATAGGAAGAAACAATGTTTTTTATGTGAAATCTTACCAAATTTTTTAGGTATCTTATTTAGAGCTAGTACTTTTCTTTTTTTTTAGGATACTAGAATGCCATTCTGTCAAATATTGCTAAAAAAAAAAGAAATGGATTACTTCTAAGACTTTTTTCTTTTGTTTAACAAACTACTTTCCTGGGGCGCCTGGGTGGCTCAGTCGGTTAAGCGTCTGCCTTCAGCTCAGGTCATGATCCCAGAGTCCTGGGATCGAGCTCTGCATGGGGCTTTCTGCTCGGTGGGAAGCCTGCTTCTCTCTCTCCCACTCCCCCTGCTTATGTTCCATCTCTCTCTCTCTCTCTAATACATAAATAAAATCTTAAAAAAATAAAATAAAATAAAAAAAGACTTTCCTTTTGGTGGTGTTTATAATTTTGGTCTATAAAAAAATCAATAGGTATTTAAAATCCTAGGTATTTTAAAAATACATAACTAAAATTATGATTTGTAGCTGTTTGTTCTCTAAAACTTTCTAATTATAGAATTATGTTTCAGGGTTCATTTTTAGGATAGTATTAAGAATTTGAAATGCGGGGCACCTGGGTGGCTCAGTCATTAAGCGTCTGCCTCTGGCTCAGGTCATGATCCCAGGGTCCTGGGATGGAGCCCCGCATCAGGCTCCCTGCTCCGCGGGAAGCCTGCTTCTCCCTCTCCCACTCCCCCTGCCTGTGTTCCCTCTCTCGCTGTGTCTCTCTCTGTCAAATAAATAAATAAAATCTTTAAAAAAAAAAAAGAATTTGAAGTGCATCTTCCCATGAGTATGCATATTTATTGTTTTTTAAGTGTATCTGAAGAAGAACATATATCTGTGTACAAAGTTTCTTAAAACTCACCCAATCACCTTTACCAAATCTTTCTTTTATGAATCAGGTGTTTTTCTTTCACAGTTCGGTATTACCTTGCACAGATATTTCAATGCATGTCAATTTTTTTAACAGCAAATATTTATTTTTTTATTTTTTACTGAGGTAAAGTTGGTAAATAACGTTTCAGATGTACAACATAATAGTTCAATTTTTGTATACACTACAAAGTGATTTCCACAGTAAGTCTCGGTACTCACGGTCACCGTACAATTAACCCCCTTTACCCATTTCAGCCAAGCCCCAACTCCCTTCCCCTCTAATAACCACCACTGTGTTCTCTGTATCTGTGAACTTGGTTTGGTTTAGTTTGATTTGGTTTAGTTTGATTTGGTTTTTTAGACTCCACACATAAGTGAAATCATATGGTATTTGTCTTTCTCTGCCCAATTTTTTCACTTAGCATAATACCTTCAAGGTCCATTCATGTTGCAATGGCAAGAATTCCTTTTTTATAGCTGGGGACTAGTCAGTGAATAGATATATACAATACATTTTCTTTATACATTGATTCATCATTGCTTCCTTATCTTGGCTATTGTAAATAATGTTGCAATGAGTATAGGAGTGCAATATATCTTCTTGAATTAGTGTTTTTGTTTCTTTGGATAAATGCCCAGAAGTGGAATAGTTGAATCATATGGTAGTTCTATTTTTAATTTTTTTAGTACTCTCCTTACTGTTTTCCATAGTAGCTCTACCAGTTTACATTCCCACCAACAGTACACATTGTTCCCTTTTTTCCACATCCTCACCAACACTTTTTGTTTCTTATCTTTTTGATAATAGCCATTCTAACTGGTGTGAGGTGATATCTCATTGTGATTTTGATTTGTATTTCCCTGATAATTAGTGATATTGAACATCTTGTTATGTGCCTCTTGGCCATCTATATCTTTTTTATTTGTCTTCATCTGTATGTCTTCTTTGGAAAAATACCTCTTTAAATTTCCTGCCCATTTTTTAATTATATTGCTTGTTTTTCTGCTATTGATTGTTTGAGTTCTTTATATATTTGTGATATTAACCCCTTATCAGATATATGATTTACAGATATATTTTCCTATTTAATAGGTTGCCTTTTTATTTTGTTGATGGTTTCCTTCACTGTGCAAAAGCTTTTCAGTTTGATGTAGCCCTGCTTATTTATTTTTGCTTTTGTTGCCTCTGCTTTGAAGTCAGATCCAAAAATTCAGCTCCATGACCAATGTCAAGTATCTTACTGCTTATGTTTTCTTATAGTTTTATGGTTTCAGGTCTTAATTCAACTCTTTAATCGATTTTGAGTTAATTTTTGTGCATGGTGTAAAATAGTCTAGTTTCATTCTTTCATATGTGGTTGTGCAGTTTTCCTAACATCATTTATTGAAGATACTGTTCTCTCCTCATAGTATGGACTTAGCTTTTTTGTGGTAAATTAGTTGACCATAGATGTGTGGGTTTTTATCTGTG